ATCAAATATGCATTTATTCCGGAAATTTTTAAGGTAAAACATGAATTTTTTTTCAAACATTTTTAATAAAATCTAGAAATTAAAATATAAAAACCTGGCATAAGCAAAAATATACTGCCTTTCAAAAGTTAAGCCAATTCAATTTTTTAAAGAAAGCTTAAAGAAAAGTAAAATAATATAATTTTACAAGAACATTGCCTGCAAATAAAATTACTCTTTTTTAATTATGAAATCCTTCCTTATTTTTCAAAAGAACTTTGACTACTTGTGGCATTTGTTAAACGAATCTGTCCAGTTTCTCAAATGACAGCATATTATCCCATGAACTTTTCAGTAGCTTCCAAAAGTTTTTAGTGAACTTGGAGCATGATCCTGGACCTTCCCAAAGTAATATTTCCTTACTACTCTCTTTCTGAAGCAGCTCAAGGTGATACAGGTCTGGAAACAATGCAGGTCAAGACATGTTTTTTCAAATCTCTTCAGCTTCTTTAATTTTTAAATATCATCGAATAAGTTTATATGTTTCAGACCTTCATCTGGGACAACAAAATCAAATCAAAACTAATTAAATGTAGTCTCAAAGGATTTATATGGTCCTTCACAATGTTTTTATAACTGTTAAGTATTCCCTTACTTTGTATTAAGTACTCCCCATGCAAGAACAGCATGATCCTCCCCATGTAATACAATAAATAGGTCATCCTAAGTTTTTGTTTAACTGTAGCAACAGAAACAGATTTTTTGTAACCTTCTTCACTTAAGCTCATGTGGCATAAGCAGACCTCCACATGAGTGTAATAGAAAGGAATGGGTCAGACCATGTTTTTCTAATATTGAGAAAGAAAACCTAAAGAAAATCTGGATAGTAGAGCTTCAGTCATCCATGAGAACAGCAGTTGAAAGAGTTGCAATGCAATGTGAAGATGGAAGAGTTTTCTAGCCGCTTCTGGACGTTGAGCATTAGGAACAAATTGGATGCTTCCATGTGCTTAAAACTGCCAGAATGCCAAAATGAATATGGTCATACCAAAGCTAAATGTAAGAAAGGCTTTTCTTACAAGCAGTTGGTGTAGCAAGAGTCGGTATAAGGCAAATGAATGTCTGTCTGTTCTGTATGCATTACTACACCATTCATTCGATGAAACTCTTAACACATGCCTGCCCCATATGGAGCTTCACTAATAGAACTAACATAGAAAACTACAAATGCCTAAGAATTATGAATAGTTATTCCTATTATACCAAAATAACTATGATGCATTCAGAATTAGATATGGCCTACATACAAGATTACATTTACAAAACAACCCTAGCCTTCTTTCAATTTCAAGAACACATGTTAAATTCATTAACATCACAAACATTGAAGAATGGTTTCAAAACTAGAGAATAAATTTCAATAAATCCCATCAAATTACCTTTACCCTTCGTAGTAAACCAAGGACTTCCTGTCCTACAGTATCCTTTAATAATATCCCACTTATCCCCGTTGAACAAATCCGATACCTAGGACTCCACCTGGACAAATGTCTAACTTGGAATCCTCATACCAGACTGATATGATATTAGTTTATTATTTTTTTCTATACGGTTTATTTTTTTACAAATAAATGTAATATATTTTGTTTGTAAGACATTGTATATATAAAATTGTAGTGTACAAGGATACAGACCCAAAGCAATTTTAAACTTGTAATTGTGAATACGAAAAAATAAATCATGTGTGTAATAAAAAATATGAAACTTTGGGAAATTTAATAGCACACTCCTGCAGATGTTTCTGGGATAAAATAAAAAAAAGAAAAACACAACTTTCACCTACCACCTTTCTTTTTCTTGTAGAAACAAGTATTTTCAGATAAACAGAAGCAAAATATTATATAAAACAATTAATTACCATATAGTTTTTTATAGCCATCTAATGTATTATATTTATGTTTTTTTGTCACTAACCATTTCCTTTTACAACTGTATATTTTAATTATTTATTTGATTATGATAAATAATTAAATGCCCCGAAATATTTTTAGTCTGACAAGAGTGGCACTGACAAAGAAGGCCACTATATTTATTCATCTTTCATTGCAGGTAAGCATTGGTATATACAAATTTAAATTTTTATGATGCTGTAATCAATATCAATTAAATATTAAATAATACCAATGATATTGATGAAAATCACATGTGTATAAGTATATAATATTATTAGAGCCCATATTATGTTGAGGATGTGTTACATATGGAAACCTGTTCTAACCTTTCATCTGCTCGGTTTTCTTTGTTCCTTCTATCACTACAATTAATAGTTAATTGTCAAATTCTTTCATATTTTATAATTAAACACTTTTTAGAGCAGATTAAATGTAACAATGCAGATGAAATGGTTAATTTTTTCAAATTAAAAAAAAGTAAAGGTACTTAGAGGGAAAATTTTGATAAATAGACATTTAAGCCTTGTTAGAGAACATCAATAAGAATAAGATCTAGATTATATTAAAAACTTAATTTTACACTGATATCGATTAAATGCTTTTAATCAAAATCCTTTGAGCCGTTATAAAAAAATCTTAAAAATGTGTAAAATAGATGATATAATGTGGCACTTCTAGTTAGCTCGTTTTCAGCAAAAAGTTGCTTCAACTTCCCGTTTTGTAAGACTTTTTTTTTGACACATGCATGCACAAAAACGAAAAGTTAAACAATTAACATAGCAAATGTGTAACATTTAATGGAAAGAATTTAAGAAAACAGATGAATTGAGGAATTTGAATAATAATCAATGTTTTCCAAAAAGGAAATCATACAAATTTTCATATGAGTAAACAGAATTTTTTCATCATAATTTTTGTATTACATTGACAACATGTGTGCAAAAAACATTTGTAAGTTTTCATCAACCAATGATGAATTGATTCAAAAAGTATCTCCGAATATGGTGAGGAATTTCATTAATCATGAAGATTGCCGATCAGAATTTTAGAATTCACTGGACTTTCCAACTCAGCCACCACACATTTTAACATGGGAAAATCATTCTTCTAGGACGAATCAATTTACCATGGCTTTGCAACTGTACAAGACTTTCAGTGAAAAAGGTGAAGAATAATGTTATAGAAGCTACAAATTTGAATAGGTATTTCAAGGGAAAGATGTACCTTTGCCACGTATTCCAATAATTCCAAAAGATATGCCAATTGAATTCAAACATTTACAGTTTCCAATGGAACTAGCTTTTGCAATGACCATCAACAAAGCAAAAGGACAATCACTGCAAGTGTGTGGACTAGATAGGGAGAACATGTAGGAAAACCTTCTGATTTATTGGTGTATGCACCAGACAGTAAAACAAAAAATATTTTATATTCACAAGCACTCGAATAAATAAATAGAATTAAATGTTTTCCATATGAAAAAAAATAAGTTTCAATAAAAATAACACAATATAAATTTAATTATTATCATAATGAGTTTCCTTGAAATTAATTAATTTTTCTTAGATTGCAGCAATGCGTGAAGGGTAAGCTTGTAAAATGTAACAGAGACAATAAATAACAAAACAAAAAGAAGAAGAACACGGTAAATATTCTTAGATAATTAAATCACACATTCATTTAAGTATTAACTCTGAACAGTCACAAAACTGTTTTAGCATTGGTTTATAATAAAATAAGTTATGAAGTCTCTGATATAAAGAGCAGAAACAATGACTACTTATAAGAAATTAACAATGACAAGCAAATTATAGGGTAAGACTCATTTGAACAGGATTTCAATGAAGGCAGAGAAAAATTTAATTCCTGAATAAGTTATCAGATATTTTTTAAGATGAGACACAAGAAAATGACAAACGTGATCTGAAAACTTTCAGAAAATTTACAGTACAAATACTGCAAGCTAAGATCCATGTAAAAAAAAGCAAAATAGAATATTTTATATAAATAATTATAATAAGAATCCATGGGAAGAATGATTTTAGTTACAAAAAATTTAAGATCAATTTTTCACTTTCAATCATACAATAAATATTAAAAATTAGATGGATACAAAATTTTTCTTTTATCCCATAGATTACAGACGATCAGTAAATAATAAAAAAATGGATGAACAAAAAAGGTGTTAAAAAATTGAAAACACTAATAATCATGAGACATAAATCTTTCTTTTATAACAAAATTAACAGATAGATTATCTTGGTGAAAAACTTTTTTTTTTTGTCAAAAATTGAAGAAAACTATTATCATCATTTTTGGTGTTACAACCCATGTGCGGTCAAGCCCTCCTGAAATATCAGTTGTCAGTCATTTTTCTTCAAAGTAGCCGATTTCCAATCTCCAATATGAAGGATGGATCTAGCGTCAACCACCATCAGCTCAATGAGGAGCTTCTTTAGAATTTGGCTATCAGGCATCTTAGCCACATGACCTGCCCAGCGGCCATATGGCCAATAAAAACATTATACCTTACAAAAATTAATACTATGGATAATCCAAAAATTAAAGAATCATATGACATAAATTGTTTATTCCACAAAAAAATTACCCGAGCTTCTACTAGTTTTCATCAAAATCCCCATTCTCATCGGTTTCTTTATTTACATTATGGGTATTTTAAAGCTGTCATACATTTTTTTTGAGATTTTGTTGATCAAGATTTTGGACAGTTTTTTTATATCAAGATTCTTCTTCGGGAGAGAAACAGAACTAAGTTCCCTTATGCTTTTCTTAAGTACAGTAGGATGGGAATAATTCATAGGGCAGGGCAAGATTCATTTGAATAATCACGTGTTGCCAGTAGATAATAAACATTTTCCAGAATTATTATATAAATATTTTCTTTTGAATTTTTTACTGTGATTAAGATCATTTTACCAAGAAATGATAATGCCATTCGATAGAACTTCTCATTCCTCACATGATGGCACTTCAATCTCAATTTTCACAAAATTTGGACTAGCTATATCATTCTTCCATGGATAGTTCATATATGTTTCATGTACATACCTTAAAGTCAGACAATGAGGCCATCAAATCGTCAAGTTCTCGAGTTGCAGGTGATGCTGTGGGCCGCATTGTTTTCGTCGTAGTAGTGGTCATCTCCTCCATCATTATTTTTTGAACATAACCTTGCCTGGAAATCAAATATTTACAATAATTTTGATATATACAAGATATATGTTTTGCAATTTTTAAAGTTTTAAATGAAATACATCTGCTTCATATCAGGCAATAAGAAAGCTATTTATTTTATTATTTAGTTAATTTTATTTATTATATATATATATATATATATATATATATATATATATATATATATATATATATATATATATATATATATATATTTTTTTTTTTATTATTCCCAGATTTCAGATAATAACAGAAAACTGATTGAAGGAGGGAGTGGACAAAGGAAATATGTAACAATAAGTGTCTTATGAAATATTTAATCTTGAGGTTGTCATTGTGGACCTTTTTTATAAATATTCTTTGTAAGTTCTTAGTTAAATATTTGAGTAATTTAAACAGTAAGAATTTTATTCATAATATATTTTTTTTTCTAATACAAGATTTAAAAACATTTAAATTGTTCATAATATCACACCTCATTCTATTCACAAAGTTTATATTTTGTTACCATTTTATGGATTTATAGTAGTAGCTACTCTATGTTGCACACATCCTTCTTTGGCCATAAATATACTTTGATATTACGTAACTACTTCATTAAATAAATTACTGAAGAAAATTAATTGACTGTTCTAGATATCATGGATGAGAAATAGTCAGGATGCAGTCATTTTAAGATTTTTATTGTTGCCGACGTTTTGACCTAAGTATGTGTCATCATCAGGACATGTTATCAGCACTGATGGTGTTCAAGTTCTCCATTTAAGGTATTCAGTCAGCACTTGAACATCTTCAGTGTCTCCTTCATTAAACTATTAACTAGCTTAAGATTCCTACAGAGTTGCTATGAGAACTGAAATTCCTTCTTTGTAATAAAACAAATAAATAAAATCAGCAATATTCTGTTTCATTTGCACTATTTCTCAGAAAAAGTTATATTTTTAAACAAGCCAATATGCAAATCTCACACTATTAAATATAACTGTACTAGTATTCGAACAACAATGAAATTCATAATAAATATCGACTTATGAATGAATGCAAGGGACAGAAAGACTGTAGAACAAATCAATAAGTTGAAAAAAATGTAAAGAAGTGGTGGTTATTTGACATGGCAGGCCTGGAACCAGTATCAAAAAAAGGTTCTCATACCAGGAGAAAGTTTGAATATGAATCACAGAAGTGTATGCCATTACAAGTAAAATAACCGTGTCTTCCACTCCAAAGCCACTGATTTAAAAAATGGTGGCTGTTATAAAAAGATATTCAGTCAGTTGATAATGAAATGGAGGTTTGTTGAGAAAAATTTCATTTTTTAAACATTTTTACATAAGTACAAATATGAAAACAAACAAAATGCTAGAATAGTCCACCTTGGGAGAACTTTTGGCAGTCCTTGAAAATTTAAATGTCACTTTTCAAGGAATTAAATTTTGCACCAAATGAGCACCATTACCTAATAATTTGGTTCAAAACAACAGTCAACAAACAAAGAAATATTACTAAAAATGACTCTGTCACTTGAAAATGAGTTTTTAAGAGAAAACTCATAGATTATAAGTTGTGGAGCATTGAATTCTGCATTCATTGAGAGATGTTTTTGATCTAATTTAAAAATGTTGGCATTCAAAGAGTACTGTCAGAATTCGATGCTCTACGACTTTTATTGTATGAGTTCTTAAAGAATTAATTTCCAAGATTGAAGTCATTTATAGTAACATACCTCAGATTTTGGCAAAAATTGTTGTTTGTTGACTAATGTTTTTGACCATACTGCTCAACCAATTTCTTAAGTTATGATACTCATTTAATTCACAATTTGATGGTCTTTCATTTCTTGAAAAATAACCTTTTTACTTAGGTCTCCAAGAGTTACAAGATGAAAAAATTAAAGTAGCCTACAATTTTGAGGTTTATTTGATTATCAAAAGTTCTCCTGAGATGATCCCTGTTAGCATATTTGTTTCTTTTCATGTTTTTAAACAAATAAACAAGTTAAAAAATAAATATTTCTACTAAATTTTTTAAAATTACAATCCTGAACTAGGCTAATATTTTTAAATCTGCTGCTTTTTCTGAAAGGCAGACAAGGATAATTGTAGAATAGAATAGAAAATAATTTTATTCTGGGATGAAGATCCTTCAGAATAACAAAAAAGTACAGAAATTAAAATTTTATATCTGGCCAGATAAAAACAAACATAAGTAAAGATAATCATAATAATAACACACAAAAAAAAAAAACCAACAATAATACAACATTGTTAATTAATGTAGCACTAGATTAATTAATATTTAATTATTGAAGTAACAACAATTTGAAAATTAAAATAATTAAGTTGAATGCAGGGGTGTGGGTGAGTGTATTTAGTGATAAATATAAATAGTAACGGTAAAACATAAAGAATTATTGCGACCTCCTTTAGCACTGCCTAACCTTACTGCGGCCTCTAATGATAAAGAGGTTCCTCACATATGCTCTGTAGTATCCATTTAATATCCCAGGGTTAATTCATTACAATGAAGATAGACAAGGTGGGACTATAAATTAAATGAATAAAATCTAAGATTCATCATGAATTTTACAAACCCATTAGGAAGAGGTGGTTTGAATTCATCTAAAACTGAAGAACTTTTAGGTGTGGTAGGCCTCAGATTGGATGGAGCAGTTCCGTTCATCTCAACTGGAACTGGAATAAAAATTAAATTTTAATCAAGACAATAATTTTTAAATATATAAATGTGACAATTAAATGAATAACATCAATATATGAGAAAGAAAAAAAACTAGCAAACAATACATTTTTATGAAATTTGGAGAGGCAATTCATTTGGTGTTCTTTTTAAATTAATAAAACCCACATTAATAAATTATGTAATTAAAATTTAAATAGATTTATTATATAATAAAAACACAATTTATATATAATGAGCACTTCTAATAGTTATCACATGAATTTCACATAAAGGGCACCACAAACAAGTGATAATTTTAAATGAGAATAGTGGGCGAGGTGATTCAGCCATGTTCAATTCAAGGAAGTATGAAAGTTGGATCACCAAGGTTAAATATAAAACAAGGTTGGAAAAATGAAGACCTTATTTAGACGAAGAAATATTTAGGATAATATAATCAAAATTAACAATATAATCTAGCAAGAAGCAATAAATAAAAATTATGTATAACTATTGTTGGTTTTGCTGAGTTTTAAACACAACAAATCATGTATAACAATAGAATTGATTCATTAGGGACTGAGCAGAAAATTTTTCTGAACATAGAATGTATGTATGATCCAAATTAGAATATCTGAAGGTCTATCAAAGAAGATGGTTTTTACAGAATGGAAGCTTCATGAGCAAATCCAAGCCCTTTGTTCATTCTATGTTACCTTATGTTTGGATATATTTATATTCATTTCACACCAACATTGCCTCCCAAAAATGTGTTAAATCAATACTTTATAGAAATTTTAACTTACTAAACGATAAATTTGGGAATAGAGTGTAATATACATGTATTAGGTAATGTTTTACTAAGCTAAATAACAAAACTACTAATTATAAAATACAAATTCTAGTTGCTCACAAGTGAACACGAGATGATGAATTGATTTTTTTAAATGATTCTTTAAAAAAACAAAAATTACAAGCATGGTTTTCACAACATATTAATATCAACAACTTGATAAAGATAATGCATACAAATTTTTCATAGATGAAAATGGAATAAAAAGCAAACAAAATATCGATGATCATAAATTGATTTTTTAAAATGATGCTAAAAAAAAATTATAAAAAAGTAAGAATCATTTTTGCAACCAAATATTAACATCCCTAATTTGATAAAGATAATAGTTCCATACAAAATAAATTAATATGAAAAAAAAAAGAAGAAATAAACAAACAAAATATTGACAACATTGGCCTTATTTGATTAATAAATAAACTCATACAGTTTTGGGAGGAAAAAAAAATGGGATTCTTCCAAAGTAGCTATAATGGAATCACAAAATACTAAAAATATTAAAAAATTTCTTTGCCTGAGGACCGAAATCCTTCCAACTTAACAGGCTCCCTGGTTTGCAACAATCTATTAATTAAAGCATTAGTAATTATTAATAAAAGAAAATAAGGAGTTTATTTTGATTAATCAATAACATTATATCATTAATTCATATCTTATTAATGTATCCAAAAATTGGAGATCATGGGCAACAACCTGACAACCAAACGATTAAAGCATAATGAATTAATGACTAATATAAAAGCAAAGATATTTATTAAATTAGAATCTTATTAAAATAATAAATATAGAAAATAAGAACAATAAACAACTTACTCTTTCTCTCTGTAGAGTACCTAGAACTGGAAAGGTCTTCGAGGAGTGTGTCTAGCTCAGAAAGGTTGTTGTTTAAGGAAGAAGTCATTTTATTTGCAGTTCCATATTGAGGCTGAAAACAACGATTATAAGGTAGATTGCAGAACATTAATTTATTACTTATTTTATTAATATATTTAATAACATTAAAAATAGCAATGACAATGGAGTGAGATGTATCAGTCTGGCAGCAGCTAAAGGTTTACTTGTCAGCAGTACAATGCTCCTACACAAGGATATTGACAAGTATACCTGAGTTAGCCCCAAAGGACGAGAAACCAAATTTACTATGTGCTGGTTGACAAGAAATATCAGAGCTCAATACAAGATGTAACAAGCTATTGTGGAGCAGACTGTGATTCGGATCACTCTCTGATTAGAATTAACAGATGATTGAGTGGGAAGAAGGAGATATGAAGTCTGTAATTTGAAAATTTCTGAAGTAAAAACCAAAGCCTAACTTGAGCTGAAAAATAAAATCGAACCCTTGGACTCAGAGAGCCTCATCACCGACCAGCACTGGCAAGCAATAGAGTAAGGGCTAAAAGAAACAGCTAAGAAAGTGAAGAGAAGGAATTCAGGAGAAATGAAAAGCTAAGATGTGGTTCACAGAAGCATGCGAAAAGCCTGTAGAAAACGGAAGAAAAATTAAATTCTCTAGCTAGCAACAACCAATCAAGTTACGAAATCTTAACTGATCAAGTTAAGAAAAAAAACCAACAAAATTATAAGGTCGGCAAAAAGGAAATTCCTCAAAGAAAGATTGCAAACCATTGAGGACAACAGGCAGGCTGGATATATACATGAATTCTATACACACATTAGAAAAGGAAGGGTAGGATATAAAGTAAGAAATACGCAAATCTGAGGAAAATATATCATTCTTACAGCATCTAAAGAAAAGATATTGAACATCTGGAAAGAACATTTTCAGGAACTTCTCTACCAAGGGGATCCCACGATCGAATAAGATCTGGACCACAATGAGGACCTCGACCCAGAAGAGGTTGAAAGTCCAGATATACTTGATGTAGAAATAGCTATTTCATAAAACAAGAAAGGCCCCAGGGAAGGACAATCTTTCATCAGAACTGTTTAAAGAAGGGGGAGATGACTAAAGCGCCAAGCTACTACAACTAATCCAGAAAATATATCATAGAAAAGGATACCTAAGGCTTGGAATACGGGTCTGATCTGCCTTATTCTAAAGAAAGGCTCCAGGTATGAGTGTAGTAATTACAGGGGCATTACACTCCTTCTGGTTGCCTACAACGTAATGACCAATATCCTACTAAACCGGATATATCCGTATTATGAAAATATAATAGGCCACCAAACCTTCATTCTAGAAAAAGTATACAAAAAATGATGGGAAATAGCCCAGGACATCCATACCCTATTTGTCGATTTCAAATATGATTCTGTGGACAGGAATCGTCTTCGAAAGGTATAAACCGTCTTATGGCAGAGAAGAGATGGACTATCAACGATGTTGCACAACTTAGCCCTAGAGAAGAACATCACACCAAAATGGAGAGGTCCACGTCAGAATGAATCATAAAATCCTTTGATAAGCAGATGATATAGTTGTCCTTGGAAGTAATCAAGAGGACAATGAGAAACTCACTAAGTCTTTGATAAGAGAGGCAGAGCAGATGGTCCTTCAAGAAAATGAAGACAAAACAAAATATATGATAAGAAGCCTAAATTTCAGTCTCAAACAGGATCTGCGTAGAAGAAAAATCATCCCCGAGAATAAAAAAAAAATCAAATACCCCAGCTCCACAATAACCTCAATGAATTACCAACAGTCAGAAATAGACCAGTATATTACTGGTACAAATGGAGCTTTCATCTCCCTTTCAAAGGAATTGAAATCCTGAAAAATCTCAAATTAAGGGTGTACAATGCTAAGATAAAGCCAGTTGTAATATGTGGCCACGAGACCTGGTCTAGAAAAAAGTATTGAAAGATTTGAGAGAAAAATTCTCTGCATGATAACCAGAGCGATCTGGGATCTACTGTACTAATACATGAGAGCTACATGCAGATGACTGGAAAGAAATAGCCCAAGACAGGCAGAGATGGATCAGGCTTGCTAAGGCCGCAAAAGATTTAATTTATTTACCTTTTACATGTAAAAAAGGTGAGGAAATAATGAAGTGGCTTAAGGTGCTACAGGACTTTTGTTCATAGATATAGAAGAGAGAGGTGCGGTTATAGAACTGAGAATCTGTGACATTAATTATAGTTCAAATGGTTAGGTTCCGACAGGTATGAATGTATTTCATCCCAAACAAAAAGGTTCTAAAACTTTTATATAGTCCCTGTTATTAGGTTAATATATACAATTTAAAAAAACATTCAAAATAGAAGAGAAAGAAAGAGAACTCACAATCAAACAACTACTCGTGAAGTAGCATAAGACTGCTCCCAGAACTGAAGGAGGTCTACCAATAGCAAAGATCAAATAATTTTAATTAGCAAATAAATCCTACCAAGATTTTGAACTGTAAATAAAAAAAAAAGATTTTTTTTTTAAATTATCAACAGTAGGAGAAATCGAGAGAAAAACAATAGAGGATTATAATCATAAAGAGAGTTCCTCGGGATAGAGGTTACTAGGGATTTTTAAAAAAATACAGACATAAGACGTCAATTTCCATGGAGTAGAAAAAAAATAAATCAATAAAATGAATATGTTGATGTAGAGATGGTTGGCCGTGATATAATATGAGAAGGATTGATTGGGGGTTGCAGTCAAATAAATACTAAATTATAGAAATAGTATTATTTAATTATTATGCCGACATTTCGACCCACCTTGCAGGTCTTCATCAGGGCTACAAAAGTTACAAAATACAAAAGGTACATGGTGAAAATAAAATAAAAAATAATAAGATGATATCAGAGATTCTCACCCACTATATCTCTGATATCATCTTATTATTTCTTAATCAGATAACTTCTTCGTATTTAATATCTACTTGTAATTCATTTATTTTATTTTCACCAATAAAATTTAATGTTTTGCATTTTTTGTAGTCCTGATGAAGACCTGCAAAGAGGGTCGAAACGTCGGCATAATAATTAAATAATACTATTTCTATATTTTAGTATTTATTTGACCTCACCCCCTGATCAACTCCTTCTCAATAAAATAAATATATATATTTTTAAAGAAACACATACCGATGTGGGAAGTGGACGAGGTTTGGGGCTGGTAACGGTTGCATACTCCTGATTGGTAGTGCCTCCTCGTGCCCGCAGAGATCCATAGCCTGCGGTCCTGCTCCCTGGAGATATAGAGTTCTGGAGGTCTGCCAATAGGGCGTCTGTAACAAGATAGTATTTTACATTATCATCCATGTCACACTGTTCATTTTTTAGCTCAAAAAAAAAAAATTATTCCCATACATTAACCATTTGATACTGAATGAAAATTTCTATATAATTTATTACAATCATACTTTATACAATAACATATTACTATACATAACAGTAACATATTACACTAAATATAACCCTCCATTCCCACATTCAAATTCCTGCTATTCCAATTCCTGTCTCTAAAATAGTCAGATATCTGCTGACATTTTGATATTATATATTTATTTCATGTCATTTATCATCATCAAATGCTATTGATGTTCTTTGCCAGGGATATTACAAGAATATCCTACTCTCGAAACCACTCAATGCATCTATTGTTTTTTATTATTGTTGCTTATTAACAGAGCCTGGATTTTTATGTAACTGCATATTTTGGTTTTGTGATTTTTAGTGGCCGTACCAAATATATATAGTACACTGTAATGCAATTAGCTAAATTTTATTTTGCATATTTGAGGATAAATGTACATAATTGCATATTATTATTAATTTAATGAAATAAATAAAACATGTATGTATATGTAAATAAATTTAATATTTACTTATTTATATAAACAAATTAAAATGCAACATTGAAGAAGCAATTCAAGATTACGATCGCAAGTTTATTTTCAATGTACAAAACAACCAAATCTACCACATTTGTAGACTTAATACATATCTCGAGAACGAAACATAGGAGCATGTAGGGACGTGGGTCCCAGAGTGCCCGGTTCTGAATGGGTTCGATTCCCACCAGGGTCGGTAAATTTTCATTTCTCGGAGGACCCGAGAAATGAATCTTTACATTCCCACTCTTGTAAGTACGCGGCGGCAACTTTAAGGTAGCCGTCTGGGGTTGGCAAAAAGAACCATGATAGGACCCATTTGCTGGACTAGTTCCCCCCACAAATCGCATTAATACATATCTTCCACTATACCCTTCAATAATTCTCTTTATAGATTTCACCAATTCCCGAAAATCCGTTTTCCTTTCTTTTCCCATGTTAACATCATATTAAGTTTCTATTTCAGTTTATTGCCTACCTTCTTTGAAAGAGATCATATTTCTGTTTATTTAAAATGACAAAAGTAGATTAATCATTTTTATTAAGTTGAAATCTTGGATTGAACCTTACAACAACAGATAGTAAATGTTTTTACAACTGATGGAAAACCAGGGATATCAGGCCAAGTGGCTGAAACTTTAAATGAATAAATGGAAGAAGTTTTTATAAAAAAATCAAGTATTAATTAAACTATTCTGGCAGGTATTAATATAATTTTAAATGGCGAAAATTCAATTGTTCCCAGCGTCATTGACCACAACTCCGTAATTATAAGCAGTTATAATTTGGCCCTATCGAAGTTGTTGACGTAGAAAGATCATTTTCTAATTATAAAAATATTTTAAATGATAAAAGGTTAGGTTTCACAGAAGTAAATTAAGAAATGCTTTCTGGTGATTAATTTTAATGCAAAACGTGCTTTGCAGACAAATTCAAATGTTTTATCTGTTTTACGTTATTTACTGCACAACACCAGCGGATCCAGGATTTAACTTGGGGGAGGCTTCAGCCCGGAAGATTTTTTTTTCATATACATATAACGATAATTAATTTGAAAAAAAAGAAAGAAATTAACTACCTTTATGAAATGGTGTTTAAGTGGTTCCTGAAGTGTTATTAAATGTAATTACAGGAACAATAATACTTTAAGAGATAGTTTTTAATATTTTTTTCTGTAAAACATGGTCATATTTTACCATTTTGGGGGGAGGGAGAGAAGGCTTTAGCCCGAAAGCCCTCCCGTAGACCCGCCTGTGTTGCACAAGTTGTTAATTATCTTACTGTTTAAAAAAAGAATCATGTTAGATTTTTATCTACTAACATTTTAAAATTTTGATGCGTTACATTCTTCATTGTTCCATATTTGTTATATTTTATTACTATGCTTATTTAATAAGATATTAATACTATATTTTTTTGTATATACTTGGTGCTATTTTGATGTTTTATTTTTTTTTATATGGTTCATGTTACGTTTTTTATCATTATCATGTATATATGTATATCATAACCTTATTAGCCGTATATGTTTCGTTATTTTCTATCTTTAGTTTAGATATTAAAAAAAAAAAAAAACTGAAATTATTGTATTTTTTAACTCCTCGATAATTCAGTTTTAATTTAAAAACCTTTTTATAGAGACATCGTTATATTTAAATAAGTTACTGACAGATTAGTTATTAAGTAATTAATAAGTTTAGCATATTTAGAGTATCAGTAATAAAAGCATTTTTCATTTACTGCATATTTCAGGATTTTTCACTGCATATTATATGGCATATTCTGTGGGTTTTTAATGGATAATAATCCACGCCTTACTTATTACTATTATTTATATATATAGATTACATTTCTAAATTTAGTTACGTTAACAAATTATCATGTTTTTCTCATGATGTATTTGTATATTATTTACATATTAGTTAGTATTAATATACTTAGGCATTTTATATAATTAGATTCAGCTTTCTGTTTTCTAAATAGAAACTCAGAGCTTATTGATGAGAGGATTTTAATTTTTTTTTTTTCCTAGAAGAGTGTATAATTATACTGTTTTGCCGTTGATTTTAATTTTATTTGTTTTGTATATAGCATGTTCACTTGATGTTTTCCTCACATTTTACTTTCACTTACCTATAGATGTAATATATAGTAAGGGTAAGTATTGCGATCGTGAAAATTTGCTTATCTTAGATTTCAACGGAAATACACGTTTTGATGTCTCCTGAGCCTAAATAACCAAGTCTCGCAAAATGGACAGTCTAACTCAAAAACTAAAAGCGGTACGCAACTGAAGTTATATATTTAAGTCAGGTATATGCCTGGGATGTTACAGCAACTTTTCCCTTAAAATCGGCTAACTGGAAGTACCATTTTATGTCATAGATTTTAAGCATTTTTACGATTTTCTCGAAAACGGCTTTAACTAACAATATGCAATATTTACTAAGTTTATTTTTCGACGAGTTTTGTAATAAATGTTTCTGATAAAATTGAGAATTTTTCCGAAAAATCCATTTTCTCCTCAATCATTAGTATTGTTTGATACTATTAACAGTCCTAAAAGGAAATGGAAAGTAATGCAAATGTATAAATTTAACTGATTCGATTGGCGAGAAAAAACATGGTAATTAATTGTTTTAAATGAAGTTACACCGTAGTTTTCACTTGTACTTTCTATATCAGCAAATACCTATCTGCTCTAAGGTTGGTAAGTGAAAGTTGTGTGATGCACGCACTGCATCAGATTATTTTATTTTTTGTATAGTTTCAAACATTAGGGCAGAAATAATCTTTTATTTTTGTTATTTTGCAGGGTTTTTTGTTTTGTTATTTATTATACAATTTTGATATTCTCAAGGTCTTTGTCCCAGAATAAAGTTATTTTCTATCTGTCTATATATCTAACATCACCTCCATATACAATTTATTTCAAGAACATTAAACACCATAAACATAAATTTCATTTGTTTTGACTTCCATAATTATCCACCCAACATAATATTAATACAAATAAGTGTGTTATTAATTATTGCTGAGAAAAACAATTATGACAAATTAATGATTTATCAAAATAGAGGTTAATGTATTATTATTATTATACTATTCATTTTAATAGTATTAGTGTATTATTTGATTTATGTTTTTGGAAGATTAGAGATCACAGTTGACTTGCAATTATTATTCCTATGTATGTACCTCATCAACTAATGTCACTGCATAATTGCTAAAGTATAATGAGGGATGTTTCCTGTCATTTATCCTGCGTTTGCCATCGAGTGAGGATGGATTTTATATGAGCTATTGATATTTGGGGAGACGGTAATGGATGCATTCATATAAATAAATGCAAAACATAGTTCTGCCTTGGTTTCAAGCGAGCTGTCTTAGCATATGGCTAAATTTCATTACATGTACCGTAAACGTTCACAATGTTTTTCTTAAATAGAAAAATGATAATAATAATAAATAGAATAATTTAAACATTTTGTAGAACCAAGATGATAGAATATGTCTTGAATACGAGATTTTTACATTTTGCACATTTGTATGACACTGTCAGAAGAGACAAATAGGCCTAGTTGTTTGATAATAGATCTTACAACTAATGCAGTTGTTGAACCGGTTTAAAATCATTTTAATATTCCTTAACTATTCAATGGGCCAGAGCGATGGACGTCTTATAAGAAAATTAACATATACAGCTTATGACACAAGATATATGAGACACAAGATCGCTTTAACGTGAACCTTACCGATTTGATCCTAATGTAAATCTTAGAACCATTATGCATGATGTTGGTCAAAAATATTTTAAAATTAAAAATTCTTAAACTTATCATTTCTTTTACATAAGCCTTGATGGTACATTTGATAGTTGTATCGACTAATGCTAATTGTAGATAGACAGATAGAAAGTAAATTTTATTCTGGGACGAGGTCCCTTATGCATAACAGTTATGAACAAAAAATAAAAACCACATCTGGCCAAAAATTACATTAATCAATATTAAAGAATATATCTGTATATATTCTTATTACTATTTATCTTAAGTAACATTATATTAAAATAAGTAAAAATAACACCATTTTGAAAAAAAAACTAGAAAAAAACGTTATTTAAATGAAAAGAAAACAATGGGTTGATTCACTTTAGTCAAAATCTGTTTCGCAATATTTATTTTATTGTATAACGTCATTCTGCGATGTGAGAAGGAATTGGTAGAGATGATATTTAAATGAGGAATTGTAGCAGAGATTTTAAAAATGTCATTTTTTACTTTCACTTAGTTATTTATATTCGTAATACATAGACAGGGGAAGTGCTGTGATGGTGAAAATTTTCGAACCTGAGTTTTCAATGGAAATACATTTTATGTCTTCTGAGCCTAAAT